GCATGATTTCCCTTTGGTGAAGCCGTGCTGACTCCTCCTGATCACCTTCTTGTCCTCCACATGCTTAGTGATGACCTCAAGGACATCTGCCTTCCTTGTCGCATCCCTGCACACTCTGACAACGTCCCTGTATTCCTCCCAAGTGGCCTGTCCCCTTTTCCACATTCTGTACACTTCCTTCTTCTGCTGGAGTTTTGTCAGGAGTTCCTTGCTCATCCATGCAGGTCTCCTGTCGGCTTTGCTGGACTTCTTACTCAGGGGGATGCACCGATCTTGAGCCTGGAGGAAGTGATGCTTGAATATTAACCAGCTTTCTTGGACCCCTCTTCCTTCTACGGCCCTACCCCATGACATTCCCCTAAGTAGGTCCCTGAGGAGGCCAAAGTCAGCTCTCCCGAAGTCCAGCGTTGCAATCCTACTCATTGCCCTGCTCCCTCCTCGTAGGATCCTCAACTCCACCATCTCATGGTCACTGCAGCCAAGGCTGCCCCCAACCTTCACCTCTCCAACTAGACCTTCTTTGTTCGTTAGTACAAGGTCTAGCATTGCACCTCTCCTCGTTGACGTCTCCACCACCTGGGTCAAGAAGTTATCCTCCACGCCTTGCAGGAACCTCCTCAACTGTTTATGCCTAGCTGTGCTTGTGCTCTCTTTCCAGCAAGATGTCAGGGCGGTTGAAGTCCCCCATGAGAACCAGGGCCTGTGATCATGAGGCTACTTCCAGCTGTCGGTAGAAGGCCTCATCGACTTCTTCTTCCTGGTCAGGTGGCCTGTAGTTAACCTATAGGTTTACTACAGGTGTAGAAGATACTAAAACGCTATAAATTTAGTACGTAAGTTGTAAGATAAATGACCAAGCTTCACTTGAACCTAGCTTCCCAACACACTAAATTGCTCCAACCACGGAGCTACTGGAAAGAACGAACCATCACTTAGTTCCCACCCTCTAAGGAAATATCTCAGACCTCATTTGAATGCTATTCTGTATTCAGATACTTATGCCCTTATTTTTTTACTACGAAACAGTCTGTTTAGATGAGCTGCTGTATAGAAAATATTTAAAGATTTGCTACAGTGACAATTTCACCTAAAATCCAGAAATGATTCCGAGATAAGGCACTGAAAATTAAGACTCATTTCAGATGCATGTAACAGTCACTAACTTGAAATTCATTCTTCTTACTCTCCATCTCCACACAGTGAAGTCATCCAGTTTTAATTCCCTTTAGTGCTACAAAATAATTAACTCACCTTTAAAAATCATTTTAATTTCAGAGAGCATACTCCTGTATCTTAACGGTACTGCTTAGTTGATTAACAACATCATTATTTTCTGAATTGAACAGTTTATATAAGAGAACTAAAAAATATGATACTTAAAAGTGGGTAAACGTTCAAAAGGCAAAACACCATAAAAAGCATTGCCACAAACACAAATATCTACTATTTTAACCACATATGTAAACACATTTTTGGAAAAAAGTTAAAAAAAAAAATCAAGAAAGTATAATTTGCTTACCTTTGACAGCTCCATTCCAGGTCCACACTGTTTACAGAGGACACAATTTCCCGTGTGGTCCCTAAATTCTTGCTCTCTGCAATCTCCAGTCTCACAAATTACCCTGCTTAGCTAAGAAAAAAAAAAAAAAGGTAAATGCATCAAAAACATAATTAATCTGTGGTTACTAACAAGCAATTATTGTAAAATAAATTTTATATAAACTTACTTTGAGCAAGTGTATTTTATCTAAATCAGAGAACTAAATTCATACTGCTTTCTTAAGAAGAACTTCCCATACTATCAAAAACTTTTAATTGGCAATGAAAATTAATCACCTAACTCCAAATGTGGGCAAGAGGCATGAATTTTTAAAATTCTCAGTACTCAGTGACTTCCAACAATTTTTAGACAACTTGCTTGATACCTGGCACTTGCGGAACGTCAAGTCACTTGAGTGTTTGAACACGAGTTTAAATTCCTTACCTTATGCAACTTCATGAAAAATGCACACAATCATTTTCTTAAGCTCCAATTTTCGTGACATTAAAATATGTAACATGACGTTATATTGCTTGGTTTCATCTATTTGTGATTTTTTTGTACTACGCTTAACAATTGAATAGATAAGCTAAAATCTGTTCCTTTAAATGTGAATACTTAAGAGATTTTTAAAGGTCACTCAAACCTTTCTGGATACTTAACAAACAAATAAACCAACCCCAAACCTGTGTGAATACTCCTTATTCTAAATTTCACTATCACTCTATATTTAATGGACCAAATAAGAAACAAATCCAACTTTTGTCTTCAAAGATAATTAAGTACATTATCTGACCAAACTAACATTAACATAAACTAACGTTATCAGAAATACAATAAGTAATATCAATCATCCAAAAATCTCAGTATAATCAGTGGAATCCTACGCAGAACATTATCAGCTCTCTCAATGCAACTTTAAATTAAATAATTTTCCTTCACAGAAACTGCTCTCCATTACTGCTACTAAATCCTCGCTTTGTGTATTATTCTTTTCAGAAAGACTAAAGTCTTTCTGATAGCTATGAAGACTTAATTATCTTTAGTGCTAGCGCTTGCCTCGGCAGGTCAGAGTTGAAGCACACTTATGAGGCAACATAGTTGTGTATTATGCTTTGTTATGTGGATAAACCAAAAACTCTAAGCTCTGTATATAGCATACTGCACTAAGGGATTGCCACTATATATGGCATAGGAATCCCGCCATTTATTTCTGAAGTAGAACAGTATCATACCCACAGCACTATATTCATTTATATTTTTTGTCCTAGTCAATCTTCAGGAAGAGCCCCACAGGACAGATTTTTTAAATTTTAGTTGTTTTTAATTGTAACTTTTAAATTAGCAAGAAATTATACATATGACCACATTCACTTTTAAACTGATAAAATGCGTATATAACTCTCTGTACACGAGTTTAAAACTTTCAGTATTACCAATAATGTATAAAACAAAGGACAACACATTGCTGTGTCAAATACAAGCATTTTTCAACATTCATCTTAAGGAAAAGAAATTGCTAATTATTTACTTACCAAATATGCTAGTAAAAATATAAACATCTTTAGCTTTTTATCTTCTCCATGTAATCCCTTAGTATCCATTTCTTACAATTAAACCCTTCTCCCTTCAGAAGAATTAGGATAAAAAGGAAAAGAAAGGTATTTATTGTATCTTTTATATGTCACCATATTGTTCACACCTAAATAAAGTCATATGTTCTTGGCACTTTATGTATTCCAGCAGGTAAAAATATGTATTTGTTAATATCTTTAAAATATTTCAGATATATGCTTGCTATTTAGCTTCCAGGAATCTATTTTAGAAATTATGCCCTTTTTCAGAAGACAAGGCAATATACACAAAGGTTCTACAGCTTTAATTTCCATCAAAGAATTTATTAATAAATTCCATTCTCAAAATAAGAAGACACTATTACCAGCCTACACTGGAGAACTTCAACATTTGTAGATGTAGTATTTTCTGATATTTGATGTTGAATCCTAAGATTTCTTTCTTGCTTGTTAGATGCTAACTAAGTACAGAACTAACAGACAAACTACAGATAATGCATCAATTTGCAGGTTTACTCCAAGTCTATTGAAACATACTAAAATCAGTAATATTCTTCCAAGGGGTTTTCCATCAGGTTTTAAGTGAAGGCATATGACTGATTTGGCAGTTTCTTCAAATATGCCGCTTATCAGTCAAGACACAGTAGTTGATCATGTGTACGCTGCTTCCATGTTGCAGTGTGGAGCAGAATGGGGTTTGCCTAGTGGTTAAGGTAATCTTTTTACTTTGTTCTGCAATGAACTGGAAGCATACACAAGATCCGGTTTGATAGCTTAACTGAGGCATATTAACTTCTTAAGATGTGCTAACATGATTGCTTATGATCAGGTAAGCAATCACAGGCTGTTATAGAAGGCATTTCAAATAGCATAATCAAATTACATCCTACCCCAGACATTTTCATCGTAACCTCAGAAAAAAGAGGAAAAAAAAGTCCTTAAAGCCTCGTTTAATTACTTTGAGAACGGTTAACAAACAAATGATAGAACAAACTCATAGGGGAACAATTTGAAACTGTCATGGAAAGGAAGTGCTAACTTGGAATCAGGCTTTTTAGATTATTAGATTACAAAAGCATATCCATCATTAAAAATGCTATGCTTGACCAACGTTTCTCCACTGTCAAATTTCCTTCTGTTTATTTGAATCTTTGTGTTCTTTTCCAGTTTCTTATTTTTTGTTTTTTTAAGTTAACTGGCAACACAAATATAACCTCTTGTACAGCAACAACAACAAATTAAGTTAATCTAGTTTACATAAAATGCTACTTTGATTACAAGAGAGCAAGAATTTACTCCTAATTTGCCTACATTATATGACAGGAATATAATGCCATTCCTTTCAGCTGTATGATGTGAAATATAATGTTTAGACCATTTTTATTGTACTTCAGAGTTTAAGTACTTGATGTTTAATTACACTATATTAAAAGAGAAGATTAGCCATCGATATCATTTAGAAATAGAAGAGACTGACAAATGAAAGGATGGAACCCAAAACATAACCCAAGAAGTTAAAAAAAAAAAAAAACCCACACAGATTAAGGACAGCTGCAAAATGCTTTACAACATGAAACAGTAATAAACATAATAAACTATAAAAATGTAATAATCAGAATGAACAGAAACTGTAATTAACACATGATTCACATTTCATTGCATGGACACTCTAGTTAATGAATTCTAATTGATAAGAAGAAACTACACTTAAGTGGTACTGTTGGTATCCTATGAGACAAATTACTCTTTCAAGTGTAAAAAAATAGCAAGTTAAAATCTGCCCAGGAAAGAAAGAACAGGGAAGGAGGTGTGTAAAGCAGCACTCTACAGGAAAGGTAAGATTATTTCTCACTTAATGATGATGATGATAGCCTATGGGCCAATGAAAATTATCAGATCATATGCATGTCAACACGGTTAAAAAGAACTAGTAGCATGAATACACATAGATATAAAGAGCTTACTTTTTCAAAGCTGAGGAAAAAAGTAAACAGAAGAACGCGAACTCAGAAATCTCATAAAGAATTTGGATGACCTAAACATAACAGTTTGATGTAAAAAGTACTATAGAACAAATGCAAAAATAGAAAAGGAGTATCAACACATTTTAAAAGTTATTAAGCCCACAAAGTTGGTAAGAGATGCTGTAAGGGCTAGTGCAACAGGGAAAATTAAAAGTACACAGAACAAAACAATTCTAGCTATAGCACAGATCAAACAGTGGACCGAAACAGTAAAATTACTATTAAAGAAATACAGAAGTTTAAAGAAGTGTTTGTGATCTATGTTTAGAAAGAAACAAGATGGAAAAAACACACCATTTAAAGATAAAATATCTTTTGGCTGATTAGTAACTGAGGATCTGCAAAGCAAAATTAGATTAGACCAAAAGCAAATCATGAGACTTTGAACCTCAATAACCTTGAAGAGGTAGCAGGAAAGGCTTAAGCCTGTTTTTTTTCCATACATTTAGGCATGCTAGACAAATTGAAGACTAGTAGTATTTTAAAATATTTAAAAAAAACAATTAAAGAAGAGAAATGTAATAAATACGTTTCAATATAGTATTATGGAAAAGCAGTGTTGCAAAACTAACTTGACTTCATTTTTTGATTCAGAGAAGACAAGACGGTAAAACGAAAAGGTTTCTGGTAAAGGGCAGCAAAGCATCATGCTGAAACTGAAGAGATCGGGGAGAAAATTCCTATTGACTTCTTGATACCATATTATGGTATTCCTATGGGAAAAAATAAATACTTCACATTCTTCCTTAATTGCTACAGGAGGCAAAACATTAAATAAGCGTAAAGTTGAAAAAAAGCTGTAAATGTAACTTTGAGTTACTTAGAATGAATGCCAACCAATTATTCTAAGTTGCATGAATTTCTATTCATCACATTCCTTAATAAAATTCTTGTTTCAGAAACACAATACAATTGTAATTTAATTAAATCCATATATACATAATACTATCAAAAATTCAAAAATAAGATTCTTTATGTGGTTAAAATTAGCAACACAACAAGTTTATATTTACATTTTTATCTACATTTTATACAAAATTATCAATACAAATGATTTTGTTGAGCTGTACTAAGCTCAAAGAACTATAATATTGAGCTGTGGCATAATCTAAACAGTTTGTGTATTTTTTTGACCAAGCCATTTAAGGTATGAAAAAATAAAGAAAATTAAGAACAGCCTGATTTATTGTCCAGCAGAAGCAGTACTTGTCATATTATTCCAGTAAAACTACATTAACTTATGTAATGAAGCCTCATTCATCCTATATATTTTTCCAATATGCAATAACCTGAAACTTTAATATTGTTAGTTAGCATATAAGCAATTTATTAAAATTGGTATTGAAACACTGCTAATGATATTCTTTTATTTTTGTACTATTCTGTAGTCACAAGTGGATTAAAAAAAATAAATGTCTGATCTTAACAGCAGGTACTAAAGAGTGACCAGCAGTATTAAAAATGTTGCTGGTCAGGCTGACAGTAAGTTATAGCTCTGTTTAACAGCTTTTGGAGTTGCTATATCTTGTTATAAGGTGATCTTACAGCGCGCACCTCAAAGACTTCTAGAATATAGCATATGGAAGCATACTGCACTGGCACAACACATTTTTGTTGACTTAGGTGTGGAATTTTATTGCAACTGTGAAATATTTTCGATTGAAAAGAAATTCTACTGCCTTTATAACACTACTGCCAAATCTGACACCTTCAAACATCAAGAGTTCCAAAATACTAAAACCCAGAGTAGATTTCCAAAGTCAAGTGTTTTAGAACTGGCACCAAACTATCATGGACTTTTCCATGGATTTTTGGAATCATCCAAGTCATTTTACTAGGCTTCACATTTGTTGACTTATCATTACATGTATGATGCAATCTCACAGCTTTCAGACTATGATAAATTATCTAAAAGATAGCTCATATCTTTTATAACTCATGATTCGGATCTTCCAAAAGAAGCTTGCAGGCCTTAAATTTTAGTGCACTTGAGTAGATTTAGTAGCTCCAAAATGCATTTAGATCTTTTCAGGAGACATATATGATTGCGTGTGGTATTATATCACGTAATTGTTGTGCTTATTATCCTAGTTCCTACCCCCCCCCCCCCCCCCCCAAAAAAAAAATACCGGCTATAACATATGAGAAAAAAAATTGGTGTACAATACAAGACCTCTGTTAAAAGTACAAAATAATAAAATTATGCTTTCATGATAACATTTTGATAAAAATAATACAAGAGGCTAAGGCATATTAATAACTCATTGTACTGGAAGCAAGTCCCTAAGGAGACGTAACTGTGCCAACTGCTTGTTTCCTGTTTCTGTCTTCAGTTTGGTTAAAAGCTCTGCTTAAAAAGCAGACATTGCAGCACGTAATAATAGGTTGCCATGGGGCAAATTTGTTCTTTCTTGATATCAGGTGGCATTATGCTGATGTCAGTTGGACACGAGCCATTTTTTTATATGTATTCAAGTAAGCAGTAACTAGAGGAATTTTTTACTTCCGAAATGTGTGCCCCCAAATTTCAGTTCCATACATTTAAAGATTATTTGTTCTTGCTCAGATACTGATATTTATAACACTAAATTCAGATATCCTTATTTTATTAAGTAAGATAAAACTGTGGGCACATGTCTTCATGCCAGTAAGTCATTCCATACGCAACCTTTTGGTTTAACAGTAATAAGGTAGCCCAAAATATATCAGGAAAAGCAATCACAGGTCATGCACTCAAAATATAGAACTCCCATTAAGAAATGTGGACATAGAGTTTTAAGGTTGTGTGTGGGCTGCTATACGTGCATATGTATAAAGGAGGGTAATACCAAGCAATAAATTAGAAATATGTAATTCATGTATCATGGAAGTAGAGAACATCTAACCTTCCTGGTTCCTATAATCTGCTATCATCTAAAATTTACTTATATTTACTTACTAGCCTAAGCAGGAGCCATCACTTTATTTCTTAGTCAACCTATCACAGAAATATTTCTTTCTTCTCTACAAAAAAGTAAAATTTTGCCATGAAAGACACATCACTTCAAGACTCAATAGTGGTAAAATGAAATTATGGCCTATTGGCAGGTTTCTCATACATAGAAACATCAAAACTTTGAAGTCAACATAACAAATCTCATAAGGGAAGCTTTATAATGGCTAAGGGGTCCCAACTTCCAATTGGCTCAGTTTTCCTAGATCTTGCAGATGTCCCACATCTGATTTGACACTCGTACTTGATGGTCACTTTTCCTGCTCTCCCTAACACTGAGGAAGGGCTGCCTGTGAGGCTCTGGATAAAAAAACAGGACTGAAAATACAGTCCCCTAAACTTGCCAACAGAGGTCTCTGGTATGCATTGAATAGGATCTCTGCTCTCTTCTAACTGCTCTGTTTCCCACCTGCAGCTGTCAACTGTATGCAATAAAATGACAAGGAGTGGCAGATGGCTTTAGCAGAGTCAGTGCCCCATAGACAAAAAAATGAGAGAAGGGAGAGTACTTAACACTGCTGTGATGATAAAGACAAAGGAAAATCGTTAGCGACCAGAACTTCCACTATATATTCTCTCTCATACATCCAGAACACCTTCCCTTTACATCCTGCCTACAACCCTTATACTCATCCCCTTTGTGAAGTAAATGTGGTCTTGCCTGACCACATTTGCTCCAGCTGCTGTGGGGAAGCCCACATGGAAAAAAAGCCACCACCACCAACACTGACAACTAGGTAGCATTCATCACATTAAATATCATGTTGAATAAACTCCTATTTTGCATGAACTGTCATACATGAAACTGTACAAAATTAGGGAGCTATGGATTTATTTCTAGTTTTGTAACTCAGTGATAGCAGAGATTGAAACTGGAACATCACTGGATATACAAAATACATCTTCATCTATTTGACATGCTGGAGGAGGAGAGAAAGGAGGTCTGCACATAACCAGGAAATATTTGTGCTGCATCTGAGTACCATATGCTTTGACTCATGTTAACTGAAGTACCTGACTTGACAGGAATAACGATAATAATTTAACCCTCCGCCTCAAAATACCTCTACAGTGTCTTCGCGATCACATACAGTTTTTACAGAATTTATTACAGCCCAATGTGAACAAAAGGGTATAATCAGCAAAATTTGAGAACGACCTCATAATTCATCCTTGGTTTTGCTACCTGCAAGTGATGCTTCCAATCCATGCTGGTAAAATGGTGTAAAAAAGCTCATCATCCATGTTCTACCACATATCCTAACTAACATTAATGGACAATTACAGTGAAATGTGGTAAAATAGGTGTGATGTGGTGATATTTTTCCTACATTAAAACAAAGCTTTTTTTTTTAAGGTCAGAGCCTGTGACTCCTAACTCACACAAGAACTCCTAATCCCACTTAAATTGATGAGCCTACTCACACAAATAATGAAAAATGTTGTGCCTCATGATCAGAACGGTGGTATGTAATGTTGCTCCTTCTGTTTAATACAGCTCACTCAGCTCAACTTCTAGAGGACACTAGTTTGCTAGGTGAAACCTAGCAGTGTACAGCTTCCTTTGTACATATTTATATTTAAAATGAGTGAATAACTAAGTACCATTAAAATGGGAATGCCAATATAACATTAATTTTCCATTTTATACCAAAGTATACTGTTAGTTGTTTTCCAAAATAACTTTTAAGGAGCATACATTATAAAACATTGAGTTGGTTAATATAGTAACTACTGCAATAGTGCAATGCCAGTGTGCTACATTTATGCAAGCTACTCTTTAGCCATTTTGGATGGCATGCAGTGTTTTAAAAAGCATAGATATAAGTTACTTTGGCCAGCATTCTCCCTTATTAGGATTGCAACTGTAAATACTGAATGCGAAAACAGAGTAAAAGCAATTTACTAGCTCCTTAACTGACAGTCTAAACGTCTTATTACTGGACTAGTAAATTAACTAATAGTGTAACTGAAATATGTTTTGTAATTATTGTAACAAAATCAGTTTACTTCTACTTCAAAAAACCTTTGCTTATACAGTAAAAAGCTTCCAGTTAATATATCTAACTTGTCTGAAAGGTGATGGTGAAAGTGTGCTTGAAAGAGATTTTGTTGTAGTAGTTAACAAACCAGATTACAGACTGAATCAATCTGCCACTTTTGCTCATGTTAAATGCTACTAGACTCCTTTGTAAATTACATAGAAACATTCACATAAAGTAATATTAAGTGTAAAAACAATAAATAGGTATTAATTATAAAGACTTCATGACTATCAAGTGAAATAGAGCTTTCAGTCCAAGGGGAGATTAATGGAGACAGACATCATGAAAGGAAGTTAAACAATCAAAAGCTTTTCAAAAGAACCGTAATTGCGGCTTTTCAACATCGTACCAGCCACGACAAAAAGTTACTAGCTTCTGTTCTCTTAACTCCAGCTCCAAATTATTTGAAGTAAACGGCAACTTATTTATGCTGTAGACAAGAGAAGAGCTTGTGAACAAGAACGCCCGTCTTCCAAGGGCTTTTTGTTCGCCTCACTCCGGAGAGTGGAGACGCTACTCCAGAGCCGTCGAGATCTGCAAAACCCAGCAACGCCAGGGACGACTTTCCCTTGCTCTGCGGTGCCCTTCATACCCACTGCGGGGAGCCTCGGGCCAGAGAGGCCGGATCCATCCCGGGGAGGAAGGGATCCAGCGGCGTCCCGCCGCCGCCGCCTCCCCTCTTCCCCCGCCTCCCCCCGGCGCCCGTGCTCGCCGCCGAGGGTCGTTCCCCTCATTTCTCCAGCCGCTTTCAG